ACACAGTGACAGACACCCGGTATCTGCTTCATCTCCCCCTCAACGCAGCAAATCCGGGCCAAAATCAGCAACACTCACGCTTTTATTTACTCACAGAATCCCATTACGCCAGTGGCACTGTGGGTAAAAATGCTTTTTGCACACATTACACTGGCTGCAAATAAAATAAAACACCACTCCTGAGAGGAAGTACGCGGCCGCGCGAGAGACTGCTTGCTTTGTGTTTTGTTGGGCTATTCATCAATCACGAAGACGAAGTTCTGAGGCTGATGGTCAATTTGCTAAATGTAAGGAGCGCTAATGAAAAACAGCAACACATGTGGTTGATGAAGATAATATGCAAAAGCACAAGGGTGTGTTTAAGCAGTGTAAAAGATCTGTGATTGAAGACAGAGCCGGACAAATCGCCGATGATGTAATAGTAGACGGTTAGCATTGTTACTATGTGAGGCTACTTAAAGTAACAGTGAATAAAAAGGTCCGTATGGTGGTGTTCCCCAACGCCTCGGCCCCCCTAGGTCCCTTGTTGGCTCAGCCAGCCCTGCAGCAGATGTGCCAACATGTTTGCTTGCCTGAATTCTCATCAAGGCCCTTTGTTCGTGGAGGACCGTTACAATCAGGGTCCTGAGGGGTGATTATTTTGACAGCTGGAAAGCATTACTGTTTTGTTTTCTTCCACCAACAGTTGCGGCCTTATTTGTGCCAGTGATGGATGAGCTGCAGGCTAAAACCTGCCCTCTGGCAACCCATCTTCTCCACACAAATACTCATCAAAAGCTACTTTTTCCTCTCTTTTTTTTTTGTCTTTCTGAATCGATTGAGTTAGGTTAGAAAAATAAGGAGGCAGTTACATTTCTAAGAACGATTCATAATGATACACATTTAACCTGCAGAGGAGTCAGAAACGGGGAAGTAGTCAGAACATGAATCATGTTTAAAACAACTTGAACCAGGTTTATTTTGATTTTCAATACCCACTAAAGAACTGCAGACAAGTTTTAAAAGAGAGTTTATTCATCTGTTATAGACAGTTATTTCACTTTAAATTTTGTTTGTTTAAATTATTATACCCAAAGTTAAAGGGCAATGCTGACACAGTCACTCCACCACACTATCAGGTAAGGAAAATGATTATTTTGCCAGATTTATTCCCTCCTTCTTGAACAGTCCCAACCATCTTAAAATAGCGAAAACAGGAGGTTCATTTAAAGTTTTGAATTATTTTTGAATGATGAATACCTCAGTCACACATAGTTGATAAACAGATAGTTCTAATAGATAAAGAAAAGGCCTGAGTGAGACTGTAGTGTGTCACAGTTTCAATCTATTAACCCAAAATACCAGCTCAAACGGGGGGGTTCGTTACCACATTTTGTTTTCTTGTCAGTCTAGAAAATGTCTTTAAGTCAGACTCTCTTGCAAATGGTATCTTTGTTCTTAGATTCTGGCACCAGCCCTTTGCTCAATCTTGACAAGCAGAAAGTGAGGAAAAGTGAAATCGATACCATTCTTCCTAGCAGCCATAGAGCTACGGCTAACCTCTCCTCTGGGGCTCACAGAGATAAACGATTCCACAGTGGGGTCCTCCGTTCTCATGGCTGACTGTGGAAACTGGTAAAAGAAGTTCATATGAAACTTAGAATCAGACACAGAAACAAGAGAACTGCACTTAATCACGACCTTCTTGTAGGAGTAACTAATAACCTGCATCAAAAGTCCAGCCATCTTGCTACTGCTAGGCATGGCAGACACAAAATGTCAAAAAATCTTTCTGAAGAGAGTTAAAAATGAACAACTATCAGTTTAAAATTGTTGGCCGATTTTCAAAACCCGAGAGACGTCACATACGGCGATAAAGGTATGATAGATTTGGTCGAACAGCGTGTGGCGCACCACACAAAATCCGGTTTTCACTCGCCAACATTCAGATGTCAGACGGAAAAATCTCACAAAACTTCACAAGACCAAAAGTGAGTTCAGGGTAAACAAAGATGGCGGACTGGGAAGAAGCAATGGCGATATTTTATGGGTTAAAAAAAAAACAAAACAATACAAAGTCATTTTGCATTCTGCGTATTTTGGGGTTTCCCTCCATGTTTCCGTCACCTCGCTTTCTGATTGGCTACACGTCACATTCAACAGGCCGTGTTCTTGTTTCTCCTCCGGGGACACTACACATGCTGTAATGTCAGGCCAAGACAATCCAACATCCCCCGATTCTGAACGGACCAGATCACTCTTAACACATCACACACTTAAAGAGTGTCTCTTAAGATTATCTTAAGAGCCATCCCGATAATTTGGGTTATCCTTAAGACTGTCGGAAGGTCAAAATCTGGACAAAACTCTGCATAAAAATGTTGCCGTTTGAAGTAGGCATTAGATAAAGCACTTCAGGCACCTGGCAATGGGTCAAAAAGACTCTACTGGGGTTTCTTTGGGTTTGAAGGAACCATATAATAACTGTTTTATGCACCGACTCCAGAACAATAGCATTTTCTCCCTTTGAGCAGCCGGCCAACATGAAGTTACTATCTCCCTTCTCGCTCAAATGTGCAACCCTAGGTGTTTCAAGAGATAATCCACAGCCATAAAGCCATTCCCTTTGAAAACAAAAAGGCTGCGGCCGCTTAAATCTTGACTGATAAGGCTTGGAGGAGATAACACAGAAGAAGGCTCGGAGCGACGCTTGGACTCACAGCAGCTGTTTTCAAGCAGAACATTTGTCCCACAGTAAGACAGCCGCCGTCCACCATCCGAGTCTGAGCGCATGCATGATAAACTGCAGTTTACGGGGCGCAAGCTCCATTATTCACCTTTGGAGAGAGCTTCTTTTTTTTAAAAAAACAAAAAAAGAAAGTTGCATTCCTCACTTCACAGGGGGAAAGATAAACTGCTGCGAGCGGGAACCTATAGGAGTCGGAGCAGCGCTCGGGTCCTTTGGTCTTGAACCTCAGGTTTCCGGCAACGAACGGGAACCAAACACAAGCAGATGTTGGAAAACCCTGGAACAAGACGCCTAATTGTCACCGATGATTATCGACCGACTGCTGGAGAAGACGCTGCGCTTCGTGCTTCGGGGCGAGGATAGAGAGCGGTGTTGTCTTTGGACGAGTTGTCTCCGTCAGCAGGATGGTAGCTGAAGCACCCAAACACACTGGAGGATGGCTCGTAAAAATGTCCCAAAGCAGCTAATGTTCCTTAACGAGCTGACAGACAAGGTATCGACTGTTGTCAGTGGTACCCCGGCCGGGAAGCTGATTTATTCACTACAAATTCAATTTGTGTGCTATGGCTTCCAAGGCAGAAAAGGAAATGTGGATAATACTCATCATTAATCTCAGGGGAATAATGACGAGGGTTTATTTGTTATGACATGTTTGTTTGCTCAACAAAAGCAAACACGTTTGCTCATTCTAGCTCTAGGAACAGATATATGTTAGACTTTGGAAAAGGCAGTAAGTTTAGCAGGTCAATTGATTTCAAATGAAAATATACTGCAGAAATGTTATACATAAAAAAAAAACTTTGACGCTTTTAAACAGGTACAACAGACAAATGAATGTTAACAGCAATCTGAAATTTTAAGTGTAAATAACACGTCGTTATAAAGCTGACACTAAACTGCTGCAAATAAGCCCAACGAAATAGGCAAAAACCAGAAAGTAGTAAATTATCCTGCGCCAAATGTGTGTAATTAAGTCATAATCAACACTAGAGCTGTCCTTAGCTGTGTAATTATGTCATATTCAGCACCAGAGAGCCACATATAACTGTTCTTTTCTTTCTGGAAGATATCGTTTTCCAGTTTTCTCTGAGGCATGGCCCCTAAAAGAAGGAAAGAGATGTAGCAGTTCATTTAATAAAAGTAGCAGACTAGTTCTAGTCATCCCAGACTTATACCTGCTATAGCAGCTGCACTCACAGAGCCGGCCCAAAATGTTCTGGGGGCTTCAACAGAATCTGACTCGGGGGGCCTTACGACTGCTATCACTCACTCCTGCCCAGTGGATGTCTCTATTATATTATCCATCTTTATACGTATGTGTCTTTTACATCAAGCAAAAATAATACAGTTTAGAAAATCAAAGCATTTTGCGTTGTGCTTAGAGATTTAGTCGAGAATGAGTGATGATAAATAATGATAATTTTAATTTAAATTGTACTTTTTACATCTAAATTATGTGACCATTCAGGGGCTCTTAGGGGTCTATTACTGCGGAGAACCTGCTGGTGTGATTAGGGTACATTTAAAACTATTGTAAGGCTTAAGATTTAAATTTAAGATGCAAATGAACTGTAAAAAAAAAACAACCAAAGTTAATTTTCTTACTCAATGCTTTAAAATGAACATAGTAACTTGAAAGTAACGTGAAAATGTAAGCATGTCAAGTAATCTTTGTAAGTTTTAGGCTTCTTCAGTATGCAAGTCAATTCATTTTTCCACTTAAGTTTACTAACTTAACACCTATACAGTGAGAATTACGTTTGTATTTCCGGCTACAGGTTTCAGATAACTATTGCAATGTGTGTTCTTCAAACTAGTTAAAAAAAATTACAAGTAGCAAATAAGGTATCACAAATATTTTAATTTTAATTTCATAGACAAACGAGAAGGAAAAGCCAGTTTACGAAACAGATTTGTTCAGAGGAGTTTTGTTGCATCACCGTAACCCATACCCCACCAGCCAGAGCTGAAACAAATGGGGGCACATAAGCGTATATTCACTAAAAACTGCTAATGGAAGGCGTTGAAACTCAGTGTGTGGGCCCAGAGCAGCTGCTTAGTTTGCTTATGCCTTTGACCGGCTGGGTATGGACGCAAGCAAGAAATTCTTTCTCCAGCTCAGATTTCTAGACGGAAAAGTCCCTTCCCTAACGTGTCCTCTGCTTTCCATCAAAAGAAAATCTTTATCTAGTTGCGAAGTTTTTTTCCCCCCCTTTATAAACCCGCTTACCCCGTTATGGACTGGTCAATAAATAGTTTAGGGGGCACTTACAAGGAAACGGTCCAAACTGGAAGGTCCACAGGCGGGACTATCAGCTCCAGGCCACTGCAGTCCACCGATTCCCCGCTGCAGGTACAGTTCTGAGGGCAAGGTGCGTCCGAACTCAGTCCAAAACAGTTTAAGAGCTCCAGCGACAACATTAAATAAAAAACACAGTGAGAAACACATCCAAGCCGTCCCAGGGACGCCGCCATTTTGTATCCAGTATAGCAGCGCGGCCGCGGAGCTCTCCCGGTGCCCACAGACTGGGAAATGTATCAGTCTCGCTTAGGGAAAAGTAAAAACCCTTTGTAGCTCATTAACTATCTTTTAGTGGCACAAACGATAGCAGAAAAAACTTGTGTGTCCCTCTCAGCGGAATTCATCTCTGAAACAAATCTTTACTCCCAACTTTCTCCCCCGGAGTCCGACGCAGGAGTAAAATTTAAGAACATTCACAAAATAAACTAAGGTGGACTGTCGGAAACATTTAACTCAAATAAAGTAGGAAAAAGTGTCCGAAAAGGGTAAAAGAGTTGGCTTCGCAACTACGTTTGAAAACACCAAGGTGCCAAATGTTAAAGGACACTCTGCGCCCGACTCCAGCTGCTCTTCGTCTTTAAATCTGCCTATAGCACAAACTTCTAGCGGAGTTGGAACGGTTCGCCACCAAAAAATAAAAAAAGATATTCAGTAATTAAGTTAGAAACAGTGGTTAAAGCTCTCAAGTCGAGCGCTGCTCCGTGAGCTCTCCTCCAAATCTGAACCGCATAAATCCAACTTTGAAACACGGACTCGGTACCATCCAAAGAAACTCCACCAGCAGCTCGTCAGGTGCAGTCTGCGCTCACAAAATCTAGAGGATCCGATAAATAACAAAACTGCATCCCCCTCCTCCTTTCGAGCGTGCTTTGACCACCATGAGTTTTCTCCTTTGCCGAGTTACTTTTCCCTTTTTTGTGGGCGATCGCTCCGTAGTCCCACGTTGGAAGCACAACAGCGATCCCAGGATCCTCCCGTCGCTCGTTCTGATTGGCTGTTAGGATTTGTGGGTGGGCTGTCTAGCCACGTGATTGGTCGTCGAGGTTTCTCCCCGCATATCGGAGTGTAAGAACCCTTGAGCGGCTGTCACTCAACGCCCGCTGGGCTCCGCCTATGTTTCCCACCCGAGGGTGTGAAACCGCACCGCCCCCCCGGCCACTCTCACTGCTTCTTAAAGAGACAATCAGCCTCAGCTCAGTCCCTGTAATCGCATTATAACAAGCCATAATAACATAATTGGTTTGAATGCCCCCAATAACTCCATTCTGACACCAACATTTACATGTGAAACAAAAAGGAAGTAGTAAACAAGGCTCTGTTACACAAGGCATTTGAAAGAGAAAGAAAAGCTTTAGATACATTGACCTTATTAGTCAAACACTTTCAAAAGGGCCATCAAGAAAGTTTCAAAAACTGATTTTACTCCCAGTTTAATGCTTTGTAAGTCATCCAGTAAATGCAGACTTCACTCATCTTCTTTCTGATAAATTTACTTCACTTATTTTCTGAGGTGCATCACTAGAGTTGAAGTTATAGTTGAAGCTGCCTTTAATCCTCTCATGAAGTCAGCTTACATGACATCAGTATTCAAGATTGCATTAAACAACAATGATTTAAAAAAAAAAACAATTTGGTGCATATGTGAAAAGTCTCATAAATAGGGATTACATTTTCCACAAATTAGAATATGGATTCTGACTAGACCTGTTGGTCAGATAAAAGAAAATAGTAATAACCAGGTATCAGAGAGTGTGAGTCCTCCTTTCTGTCTTTTTTTTTTTTTTTTGGTCTGATGTAATATTCAAATATTAATTATTGTGTTTCATTAAATTTAAGCTGGAAATGATTACACAGAAATAAAGGCTAGAAAACATCAGCATGGGTGTAATTTGTGTTTCACTCAGGAAATTGAGTTTACTGAATCATATACATATATAGTGTGTGTGTGTGTGTGTGTGTGTGTGCGTGCGCGTGTGTTTGTGTATGTAAATATGGAAATAAAGAAAGATACATATCTTTTTCCCAAAACTAATATTACTTTACTATTACAGTCTTATCCTTTAGGGGATCTCTGTCTCATTTCACATCAGAAACAAACGTCTTGATTGAATAAAATAAGTACAAATCAAAATCTATCAAGGATCTGAATGCTTTCGGGCTTATTGTACATTAATAATAACACGTAATAATGAGCTCCTCTCATAGAGTCATCCTGCAAAGTGAAGGAACCTACTACTCGAAAAAACTAATCTAGACAACGAAGAGCAGTTCACACTTTTAAGTCTTTTAATGCTGGATGTGAGAATCATAAGTGTTTCTTTCACCACTGTCTGCAACACAAAAATGCTGCAAATATTTTGTCCAGTTGTGTCTGAGCATGCACATGTAGACCCTGAGTGCACCCATGTGTTTTGTCCATCCGTACTGATCTTTCTATTTGAACTTGCCCTGTGAAAGGCCACATGAAAGCCAAAAAATTCTTCCCAAATGCTAAAATCATGTTTGCCCGTGGTCTCAGAAATGCACATCTGTGATAAATCAGCAGTGCTGTCAGCCAGCCTGGCCTCATGAGCATTCCCCCCACCCCTTTCCCTCTCCGTCACATTTTTTCTTGGCACTGACAGATTGTTTTGATTGACTTCGTCAGAGCTATTGTGATCACTTTGTGCTGGGCGAAGGCCCAGGTTTCATTGCCATTAATCACAATAGCCAGGACACAGATATTCGCACCTGCAGCACTGCAGGCAAGTTCAGTGGCACAGTTCCTTGTTCCATTGCCAGTAAACAGACAATGGTTTCACATTGCACCGGGTATGTGTGCACATTCGCCCGCAGGTGAGGCCTCCAGCTAATGGAGGAAAGGAAAATAAATGAAAAATGAGACTCCGTTAAAGCATGACTACAATGATAAAAACGAAAAAATAACAACTGACTCTCATAGTGTGTGCTAAACCTGTATTACTTTGGAACGTGGGAAGGGTTTGCTACGAAGGACACTTTTAAAGAACTTTTCTTTTTTTTTCTTTTCTTTTTTTTTCACATTTTGAGACGTTAAAGCGACATGTCCGTGACGTTTCAACTGATTCCCTATGAGTTTAAGGGCATAATTATTTCATAAAGTTCACACACACACACACACACACACACACACACACACACACACACACACACACACACACACACACACCCACACACACACACACACACAACTTGACACACACCCTGATTTGATGATAAATGTGTTGCACGAAAGCTAACTAAACCTCAAATCCTAAAAACATCCATAGAGCACTTCTGGTGCAAATATTATGAGAACATAACATCCTCAGTCTCATGGTGAATTTATGCTTTCCATCTGGGCTGCACGGTATTAGAAAATCTTGGATTGGTGATAATATTAGCAAATGTTGGGGTGAAAAGACCAATACACAGATTTGACTCTTTCCTCTGCATCTGTGTTTCCTCTGTGACCTTTAGCATCTTGAGCACTCTGTCCAACTGGCTAAATATTATGTCAGAATGAAAAATGCATGTTCATAACACTTGGAATATGCCAGACAATTATTGTACTCCACACAGATCTGTACCATATGAATGTTGCACACACCAGTATTGCGACGTCAAGATATATTGCCAGTTTACTGTGCAGACTAACTTGCAGGTCTGTCATTGCACCAACACTTGTGACACTTACACTTCGTCATATATATCTACACCAAGATGTCTGTTTTTAATTACTTCACTGTGTACTTCAATAATGACATCAAAACTTACATTCAACAGGTGGTGCCAAACACACAGCAGACGCAGCAAAACCTTGAGAGAAAAACAGTTTTGCTTGTTTTGGAGAAACATACATAATTTCCTACACATCACAATTTAGGCCTTTCCAGCTTTCATTACCGACCTGTTAGCAAACCATTTTATAACCATGTAGCTTCAGTATCACGCATAAGTTTATTTTGGACAATTTTATGCCGACCTAAATGTAACAGAACTACTTTTTCTATCAATTTCAATGAATACAGACAGTCCTTCCATCCAACATCGATTTGTGACCTCATGAATGCATTTCTGGTAAGATGGACAAAAGATTTCCATAAACTGATTCGTAAACCTTGTAGATCCCCAGAAGAGTCAAAGCTGTTACTTTTGGCCAAATAGTGTATATAAATGTCCACTGATGGCTATGATAAAGTTTTACTTTATTGTTTCTAATCTGTTATTCCACAGCATTTGTTGTGTGTACACACATTATTAGCAGGTGGTGGTTTACCGTCACAGCTATCCCAAGTATGCCCAACCTTACATTTTGATGTTCCTTCAACAGGCACGGTATGTGGACGAAGGTACTTTCGGGGGTCTATTTTAGGAGGACCGCTGACACGTCTTTTAATGTGATTTACTTGATGGATGACCTGCTGCAAATGACCTGGCTTACAAATAAGTTTAACAAGAAGGGCACTCCATGATGAGGACAGTCATCTCTCAAGGTTGGACATTAAAAAAAATAAATAAAAAAATAGGTGAGTCAAAGTCACTTTAAGATTTGATGAATCTGGGGTCCAATATTTGCACCAAGCATTAAGATTTCCAGGCTGGTTATTTATATAATGATGCAGAGAATAGCAAATATAAAGACCTTCCATACCAGTTTGTTTTTGTGAATAATTTTGAATGAGGTTTATTTTGAAGGTTCACACTCTTAAACTGACAGAAATGTTTTGCTTTTTATTGATTAGGACTATAAAGAATAACTCAACATTCTCAATAGGGAATCAAGAGTTTCACTACTATAGCAAAGTTTCATTGTTTACCCTTATTCGTTTTTAAATTGTGTCCTGCTGTGTGACCGAAGTCCATTATAAAAAGACTAATGACGGAACCAGGTGAGTCCAACCCCAGGTCTGTTTTTTTTTTTTTTTAATTGTGTATGCTTTGAATGCCATCTACTTTGGTGTTGCAGGCAATTCACAAAATGTAAGGAAGCTCCTTCAAGGGGTGTTTGAGTCAAAGACATATTGATCACATTTCACTTTCTTTAGGTCTGGGAAGTGTAACATGATGGCGATGGTGGTGTTAAAGAGGGGAGGTGGCTCCGGCCTGGAGCAATTTATCACGCTCATCTCCCTGGAATCTTCAAAGATAACAAACCATCTGCTGCAGCCATTCATCAAGCGTAAAATGGAAAGGCGTGAAGCCTGGCCAACTCGTCATACTGGGGCTGGATGGCTAACGGGTGTTGCAGGAGTGTGGAAATGCCTCAGTAATAGGAAGCAGAGAAGGTTAGGTGGGATTCGGTCGATGCCAACACGCCCGCTACCATCCGTGAGATTCATCCTCCGTGTTGGAGTGCAGATGTTTAGGGTAAGAAAATACAAAATGTCACGGGCACCGTCCTCACTTGAATTCAAGTCCTTTCGCTCGGCTCGTTTTGGACCCATGTTTGGCACAATCTCTTGGCTTTTTGGGGGTGCTGGGT